CCAAAGTAATGAGTAAACAAAAAAAGCAGCTTTAATGAACTTAATCTGCTGAAATTTGACTTTTCAAAACAAACGTTGGAGCTGAAGCTCATGAAACTGAAGCAGTGCTGAAATAAACACAGTACGACAGAAACATGGCAACCTGTCACACACGGTCATGTTGCAGTACATCAGCTGGAGCTTCGGCAGTCCAATCACATCTCCCAGCTTACATGTAACAGGGACGCATATGATGATACTGTGACATGTGGTAGTGCTGTGAGATCTACGAGGCTGTCACAGCGCAGTGGCTTGTCTCTATTATAACAAACACTAACATACTGCTGGGACAGCATAGCAATCAATACATCACAGATATCTGACACGAGGTCAAATTCAGGTCAGTTATTAGATGATTAATGATGTAATGATTGATCCTGTACACATCTGTAGCCATTTAGAGTCGTCCATTTAAAACACACTGAAGAGTTCACTTTGTCATTTACAAGAAATGATCTCGTGTTTTCTTTCAAGTTGCTCATTTCTGATCTTGGTCCCGATGTACACTTTGGGGGGGTGTTAAACGTACTATGTCACTGCACTGTCGGTCAGGCCTCTCCAGTGTCCTCTGCTCAAAGTCTCCTCATCAGATGAGTTTGTGCATCATTAAACGAACATCGACAACAAGCAAAACAAACAACGTCTCTGAATCTGCGACGTTCACGCTGAGCTGAAGTGTCTCCACAGACACAAACTACAGTTCACGTTCACCATCCCAGTCTGAATTTTAACACTGTAGTATTACTAAGTCCTCACTCCACCTTCCAGAATTATTTTTATTTCTGGAAGCTTGAAACCAGAGTGGCTCGCAGATTTCAGAAGCAGCCATATTTGAATGTCTGTGGTTCATCGATCATATCCAAGACTTTTGGATGGGACGTTAACTGTTCAAGATTTTTTTCTTTTTAAAATCAGTAATGCAAAAATCCATTTAGTTCAACGTGTGTCGTTTCATAGTTTTGATGTTTTCAGTTTCACCACAATACAGGAAATAATCAAAATAGAAAAACATAGAAACGCTCTGCTTGGGTGTGGGAGGAGTTCAGAGAGGCCACGGAAAAAGACTTTTGGATTGCCTCGAAGAGATTCTGGTAAACCAGCAGGCGACTCAGGAGGGGAGAGCGGTGCTCCACCTGCACTGTGTGTAGTGCAGGTGGAGCGCTGCTGACTTTGACTGAGAACACTGTCAGGTGGTGGAAGGAATACTTGGAGGATCTCCTTAATCCCACTGTCACAAAAACAAAGTCTGGGGACAAAAGGGACGACTCGTCTATCCCCGGGGGCGAGGTCACTGAGGCAGTTAAACAACTCCTTGGTGGCAGAGCTCCTCAGGTGGATAAGAGTCGCCCTGAGTTCCTGACGGCTCTGGATGTTGTACGGCTGTCTTGGTGGACAGAATTTCTAGGCGTATCCAAGTGGTGGAAGGCTTTCACTTGGGTGGTCTCAGGATCTCATCTCTGCTTTTTGCGGATGAGGTGGTTCTGTTGGCTTCATCGGGTGGTGGCCTCCAGCTCACACAGCCGAGTGTGAAGCTGCACGAATGAGAATCAGCACCTCCAATCAGAGGCCATGGTCCTCACCCAGAAAAGGGTGGAGCGCGCACTCCAGGTCAGGGAGGAGTTCCTCTGAGTTTTGTTCACAAGTAACGGGAGGAGGGAGATCGTCAGACGGACTGATGCGGACGCTGCACCCCAACAGTAAACAGTAATCGTTTCGAGGTCAGTAAACAACCAGAGTTCATACATAAGGCACACGACAGAGCCCCTTATAATCCCATAAGGGGCTCTGTCGACTTTCAGAAAAATCAAAGGATTGATTTTAAGTGTGCCGTATTCTCCAAACAACATGGTAATAACGACGGCCGCTAACATGTGCTACCAAAAATAGTGCAGGGTTATAGTTAGTTGCAAATAGACAACAGGGCAACTTGCAATACTTGCAAAGTAGAGATTTAATTTAAGGGAGGAAACACTACGAATATGCAAAAGCATTTGCTCACAAACACGCGATGACCTTAAATGAATGTCGTGTTTTTAATTCTGGACTCGTGAATCTCAACCCAGCAGCAGCGGTAACGTTTGCACGTCCTCTCCCGTTAATGCGGCAGGTAAATAATCAACAACAGTGCAGATTATGTTAGCGCGATCTGCCTTATTACAAACCTGCCATTACTGTGGATTTAGTGACCATGATGAGACAGAGTCTGGCTCAGATGCTGGCAGTTCTCGCTGCAGTCTACCGTAGCGTCTCCTTTCAGGCAGGATAGACGAATGTCACCGAGCAGAGACTCAGTTTGTGGTCAAAGGCTTGCAGCTGTTTGCCACAGCAGATGATTTTCAGTAAGTGAATGTGTTTAATTGTAGGCAGGGACATTACTGGATATTCTTGTGTAATTGCTACAGAATAATTTATGTTATACTTTGTTATTGCTGCAGAAGAATATTTATTTTATTATTTTACATTTACAATTTTTTCCTGGGGACCCTGTGACGCCCCATTGAAGAGCCGCAGGCTGTGGATCTCTTAAGATCTCACTGTTGGGTTTGTAAGGCCATGTTACTCCTACATTTCTATCTTGTTCAAAGAGAAGATATAAAACAAAGATAATCGACCTTAGTGTCTCCTTTTTAAAAAAGAATCGATAAAGAATCGGAATCGTGAAAATCGTATCAATACCCATCCCTACTTAAAAGTGAACCAAACACATCCAAACTGGTTCTTCTTCCCCCAAATCAGCTGAAACTCTGTGGTTATCACACTAAACTAGGAGCTACAATGCTTCATCAAGTACATTTTAAAAATCCTTGTCTCAGATTCTGTACTTTGATGTCTTATTTCAGCCACATGTCAGCAGCGCTCTGTTGTCCAGCATTTTACACACATTTTCGCACCATCTCAAAAAGCAACACTTTAGTAGACACTAGTCACCATTAAAACCTTTACTGGGAAGAATCAGTGCAAGTCCTTTTAAAACATAGCAAATTCTAAACCAGTGAGTAGTTTTGAAAGCCCTCATTTTTTCCTGTTTGGGATATTGATTAGTGCTCATTAATAAGACAAAAGTATCCGATTACTCGATTAATCGATAGAATAATCATCAGAATATTTGATTGCCAAAATAACTGATAGCTGCAGGTTTAACTTTCTTAACATACTATCACACAGGGTCGACATCACGTGCTTCTGATAGCATGCAAATATTCGGGACCATCATAAACACAACTGTTAAGCATCCCAGTTCAGTCACCGGCGACATAAATAATAACACTGAAACAACATGATCGGGATGTCGCATTTTCAAAGCTGCACAGCTCAGCTCGCTAAAGTCGTGAAATCTCCCGCTGATGTATGTTTTAAGTTATTTAACTGTAAGTAAGCAGTAATCCCCGCGACATCGTGTCTCACATACTGAACAGAAGAAACAAAACTAAGTGTCTCAATGTAAACTTCATCTAGACAGTTCCGATTCCAGGTAATAGTCCACGCCCATAATTTAAACCCTGAATCAGCCGTGGCCCGGCCTCGGACCCGCCGGGTGTGGAACAGGCCTCCGGGCCCAGCGCAGTTTGTTCGCGGCCGACTGTACTCACATGCTGGGGTTCTTCTTGAACGCATTCGCGATGTCTTTGACAACTCTCTGGACCAAGACGTCTACCTCCTCCTCCGACTCCGCCATTTTTAGAGCACCGTCTTCTTCTGCTGCTTCTTCTTCTTCCTCGTTGTTTTTATTGGCGGTTAGCAAACAACGAATTGGCGCATTACCGCCACCAACTGGTGTGGAGTGTTGACGTCATATATTATAGTGAAATCGCTGATTCCAAACCTGTTCCCGTATTAACTCAACACGATTTTTTATTATCCATTAATGCTGTACTTACTGTTCTATTGTGATCATTATTCGTACACCATGATGAGATGTGTCCATTTCCATTCAAATAGAAATGAAGTTCATTGGTTCAGATGAAAGCCTTTTGCATGGCTTGATGTTGTCCTTTCTATTCCAAACTTTGGACTAATCTATATTCTGTTACACATCCTCCTCCCTGAACCTCACCTCTGTCTCTGCATACACTGCTTTATCCTCTGACTACAAAAAGTTGGTTTGAGACAAGTTTCCTGAATACAGATCATTTCTGGTTTCATGAATCCTTTAAATTCTTGTTCATTTGCTATTAAACGTCGAGCTTTCTTATGATCCTCGCTCCCTCCAGTGCTTTGTTAATATGTTTACACCAAAGATCTTCTCTGTTCCTTTGATTATCATTTTGATTTGATCTGTTTTGTACTTTACTCGAGCTGCACAGTTAATGAACAACAACATCTTCTCAACTGTAACTGTAACTCTGTTTTCCCACTCTGTGCCCAGGGTCAGGTTGTCTCTCCCTCTCTGCGCTTGCACTCCCCTCACAGGAGGCCACGAACCAGTTTATGCCAAACTGCCCTCCCAGAGCACCGACTCCTTTTTCTTGGTCATTTTTCTTGGCGGTTGGTAAATATCAAAAAAGGTGCGTTACTGCCACCTACTGGTTCGACTATTGAATAAACTCTCGTTCACAAAGACAAACAAATAAACAAAAAACAAAACAAATAAATCAAACTACAGATTTTACTCAAAACATTTTTCTGTCTTTAAAAAACAAATATGTAAATGTGTCCTGATAGTTTTATTTCTCGTGTTCTTTTAAAATAGATATGACCCAGTTTCACTTTGACATTATTAAGGTTTTTATCAGCTGTCTCATATTTGTGACGGTGCAGTAAAGTACACCATGGTGCCGTCTTCTGCAGTCACATTTCCCTGTACGTGTTTCCTGTGATGTTATCGTCTCCTCTTCCTGTTCCTTCCTGCACCTTTTCTTTCTTCCTCCCACTGCTTTTGGCACCTTTCCTTCATCTTCTGCCTTTTTT